TTTGTCCACCCGAGACGGTCACTCCGCGTTCTCCCAGCTCGGTAAGCTCCCCATCCGGAAGCATGTCGATGTCTTGGCGCAAAGCGCAGGCCTCGACCACCTCTTGAAAACGTGTCTGGTCGACCGGCGCTCCGAAGATGACATTGTCGCGCAAAGACCTGACACAGTCTTGCCGGTTAGCCAAAGACGGTATCATGGCCTTACTGCTTTGCAGCATACTCACATGTTTTGGATCCAGGCATGCTGGGGATGATAGCCAACCCGACCTGCAAAATGCGTCTCGCCTTCAACCTTTCGCATATCCCCAACGAGAGCTTGCAACAGAGCGCTTTTGCCGGAGCCGATCTGTCCACAGACAACCGTCAATTTGCCTAGACCCACCTCAAGCAGTAGGTCTTTGAGTTCAAAGGGCTTTGAAGGATCTGGGGATGCTCCTTCTGGGCTATCCGTAGCCTTCTCACTTTCTTCCTCTTCATCCTCAGTGAACACGTCTTCACCAGCCTCTTCGCGAGCTCGACGCGCTTTGCGTCGCGCATTGACGCGTTGTTGACGCTCTTTCTCTGCCTTTGCAGCCGCCTTCTGCTCCGCCATCTGCTCCTTCGTAGTCTTATCAACCGCGCTGCTTGTAGCACCAAAGGCTTTATCATCCTCGTCGAGCTTTGCTTTGGGCGGGCCCACACTTTCGAAAGCATAAGTGCCTTTGATTGAAAGACCTATCTCTTCATCAGGGCCGTGATCTGAATGATGCTTCGGCTCTCCGGATGGATCACCTTCGAGTATGTTCTCCTCCGCATTCTCTTCGCTCAGAAGAATTTTGGAGATGCGGCCGAGAGCGACATGAGCGTCTGCAAGCGAAGATATGGCAAGCGGTCCTGTGACCAGAGCCGTTTTGATGATGTTGAGGAGTTGCAGACTGCTGAACACAATCGCAGGATCCAAGTCGTGGCCAGAGAGCTTGTAGGTCATGAAAGTGAGGGTTGCACTAATGATAGGCATGGCGTAGAAGAGCATAAAGGTCAAGGAAGACCAGATGGCGTGTGACCGTATGAAATGAATCTCTCTGCTTCGCAAGCTGCTGACCTTCTCCGCATATGCTTGTCGATGCTCAAAGAGGATAATTAGCTTGATTCCTTGAAGAATCTCCTGCATCAGGCTGACACGTTTGTCTGTCACTTTGACCGCATCTGCCCTTGCTTTGACCATTCGGCTGACAATAACAGCTTGAAAGGGTGTGAAGAAGATGATGACTCCAAGCGCTACCAGAGCCGATGGCCCCAAATTGTTGATTAGGAGCGCGAGGGTTACAACGATCTGTATCGGACCCAGCCACGCATCGTGGGCGTACATGTACAAGGTCTCAAGCCGTGTGACGTCCGTCGACACTGCAGTCACTAATCTGCCAGTGGTATGCTTTAGCCTGCTCTTGGATGACAAGCGCAGCCCTTTGCGGAACAGGATGGAGGTCAGGGAGGCCCGGCTCTGCAGTCCACAATACATGGCCAAGTAGAAACTGAAGCACAGAAAGGGCGGAAAAGTGAGACAAAGAGAAGGGAGTGTTGCATGTGGTTCCATACAGCGACCTACAATTGATTGGTAAGCAGGGAGGAGGCTTGCATCATGCCCCAGAGACCGATGGCGAGACCCCATCCTGTCCCTTGGCCTGGGGGTTTTGGGAGCACTGCGGCTGCGTCCGGAGTATTCGCATACACGTAGGCCTGCCCGATGTAGTCAAGCAGGGCCTTCGTGACGAGCGGCGACGTGACTGTCAGACCATCCGCAAGCAATTTCAGGAAGCCTGCAAGCCAGAGCTTCTTCCAAATGAGCTTGTGAAGTGCCCACGTCAGTGACTCGTCGTACTTTGCTTTTGGCTCAAAGGAGGGGGTGGTGAAACCTACGTTTGAGCTGGTGCTCAAAAAAAAAAAAAACAAATGTCTCGTCCAACGCATCCACGTACCTTTTCGCGATCGCAAGGGTACTTCCTGCTTGGCCCCCACTTTGAAGTCCGACAAGCGCGCAGCTGCGGCTTCTCGTTGCTTGACGGCGAGGGGTTTTCTGCGTGGAGCGCACCGATCGTAGAAGAAGGACT